TTATCTTCTAGAAGTTCCAGATTTCATGGATGTTCCTCAAGTTAGTGTATATTTAGGGTCCAATTTGATTAGTTTAATTATTATCCTCTTTTCACTCTTTGAACCTGCACATTCCATTGGAAACAATGTGCTTTTGAGTTTGGGAACTAATGACAGCCATTCTTAATACAGTCATTAACATGAGTTTTTTTTTTAATTTGGTCCATAAATTTAATGTTATTGTTTCCAATTAATTTGTGGGGCTTTCCCACAAATTGTAATATTATGAACCTTATTGTATGAATAGGACACTAAAGATGAAAATGAAAAATTGGGAGTTATTTTTTAGGCCTTTTTTTCTTATCAGATCACTACTGCAATGATATCTCCCATATTTTAATTCTTATTTATTTTTATCTGATCCATTAGCACATTAAATTTTTATAAAATGTTTTAGCGCACAATATAGAAAGAAACAGAAAATTATATGAATTGTTTAGATAAACGAGGGTATCTTTATAATCTAAAGAGCCTTTCAGAAGCATTACCTTTATTTTGACTACATTATATGATTTCAGTGCAATAATGATAGAAACAAATAACAAAAATAACTAGAAGGACTATATATACAGAAATAAAAATATAGCACAAAGAACTCATGGATCATAGAATAAAATCTGATAGAAATTAGGAAGTATTTAGAATTGAATATGGAAAACACTATGGATCATCTGGTAGATGCAGTTAGAGTCATAGGAAGAGAAAGTAATTTTAAATGTTTATATTAGAGGAGAAAACTTGAAAATCAACATGCCAGGCGTCCAACAAAGGAGGTTATGAAAATATTAGCAGAACATACTAAAGATAATAGAAGGAAGTAAAAATGAGTGGTAATAAATGTATTGCTATTTGTTGAAATATGATTTAAGATAGATTTCTAAGTCATTTTATCCCTTGGCAATGGGCACCGCACGCACTTACTTGTTTTTCTCTTGTTGATCTGTCTTTTGTTACAGGAATCTGTCCCAACTGTCCCAATTATGAACTTACACGAGTTCAGAAAAAAAAAATAAAGTCTTTCTCTCCTTCATAGGGGAGACTGAAATCAATGTAGATATTAATCTTATTCAATCAGAAAAAGACTTGATGAAGAACGGTGGAATGTGATGGACATCATTATCCAAGTGCATGTACGAAGACTCGAATTGGGTGTCAGCAGACTTTATATACAAACAGAGATATGAAAAATTGCGGCATATATGTGTAATAAGAATTGTAATGCATTCTGCTGTCATGTATTTAAAAAATAAAATCAATAAAACTAAAAAAAGACTTGATGGCAGAAAGATATAATTTTGCCACAATGCATTAATGGAAATGTGGTAAACATGACCTGAGAAGCTCATTCTCAAATTTACATGAAGTGCAAATAGTTAAGAAAAGCAAATGAACTCCTGATTAAAAAAGAATAAGATAGATGTCTTATTTGATAACATATCAATATGTAAAATAAAACTCAATTGTGGTATTTGCCTTAGGTAGATATAATACCTGAGACAATAATAGAGCAGATTAATAGACCAGAATAGAGATCCAAAAACATAACCATGCACACATGGAAATGTAATATATGATACGTGTGTGTTTTTAGATCGATGGGAAAATAATACATTGTCCAGTGAGTGATGTTGGGGCAACTGGTTAACTCTATAGAAAAAAATTTGGATGCCTACTTCACACCTACCACAGAAGCCAATTCCAGATGATTAAAGACTTAATTATAAAAGGTAAAGCTGCAAAATATTTAGAAAATGGTATGGGAAAAAATCCTTTTGAACTTGCTTAACAATGAAATGTTTTCAGAGAAGAAAATGTATTACTTTATATTGTTGGGCTTGGGGAATGGAGGATGAGGATAGAAACTAGTGTGGTGCATGTAGCAGATGATCAGAAAAAGGGCTGGCTTAGACTCCAAATAATAAAAACAAGTAAAATTGACTTTAATTTCTTCTGAGCAATGAAATGTTTTATTCAGAATTTTCAGTGAGATTTTTCCTTCCAGTTACTTGTTCTGCCTGTTTTTAAGCTGGTTTCTGATGTTTCACTGTCTTAAGAATTCCAGGAAATCCAATATCCTGACAAGTTTGTCTCTGGAATCAGGAAAAGGCTGTATGGCTGGCTAGCCCCTCCTGGCATTGCTTTAGGAGCATAAGTGGAGAAAAGAGGCACACACAGAAGCCAGGTTTGCAGAAGGAAAAATGAGGGTGGATCAATCACTAGCAATGTGAGACAGCACTGCCAGACGATCCTGTTAATTTATTTCCAAATAATTTAACTTGAAGGCTGTAATTGTCTTGATTCATTATTGGCCATTATCGTCATGATTACTGTCACCAAAAGCAGCTTTTTTTTTTTTTTTTTTGGTGGTGGCGCTGGGAATTGAACCCAGAGCCCCGGGTACGCTAGGCAAGCACTCTATCACTCAACTACAGCCCCAGCTTTACCACTGAACTACAGCCCCAGCCTAACCATTAGCAGAATGACAGCTTCTGCTCAAAGTCAGCTTTAAAATCTGAGTCTTATCCTTAAGAATCTGTGAACTATGCAGTAAAGATGAAGATGTGGTCAAGGAAGAGGCATGGACCAATGATCCAACATTCACTTAGGGACCCCCACTTAGCAAAAGATTCCATTGCTTGTATTTGTTGGCTATTTTTCATCTGTTTCTATTAACTTTGTACGCCAACCAGGCAAATCAATTTCATGAGCTTTTGCCTTCCTGTTTCACAAATAAAGCTTGCGATTTCTTTGTAGTCAATATTTTAATTATTTTAAATCCCATAGTTACTGAGATCATCTTTGAAAATAAAAAAAAAAAAACTAAAGCAGTTAATTTGTCATAGAATCTTATTGATGCAGAACACTAAGTATTTGTTCCTTTTAAACTTCATCAATATTGCCAGTATATCATCATATGTTTATTATCTTCTTTGATATGTAACTTTCAACTCTATTTTAACATGATGATGTCCCCTTGTGGGTTTGGCTGTTTACTGTTGCTCTGCATTTCTCATTTTTGACAAGAACCTTTGTAAAGCTGTGGGGGTGCAGGAGAGAGAGTTTGAGCTTGGTTTCAGATTTGGATTCTATCCTAGTTTGTTGTTGGACCCTTAAAGTTATTTCAAAACCCTGACCCTGCACTTTCTCATCTGTAAAATGGGCATAATAGCAGGGTAGTTTATGTAGAACAAGCAGTACTCAGTAATTTCTTCGTAAAAGAATATCAAAATGTATTAAAAATATTTGATGAAAGTAAATAGGAGGTGAAAGGATTATATTATAGTCCACCCACTCTGATAAAGCCTTCAGAATTTTAGGAGGACTGATCATTGACAGTCATAATATTCCTGTGGGGCAACAAAACCCTAGGATTTGGTTGCGACCCCTGAATTGTAAAACCAACTCTCTTACCCTTTGGCACCTTCACTGATAACAGCCTTTTAAACAAAACAACAACAAAAAAGGAGAAAATTACATACAAAATGTGGAATTTTAAAATGACACTTGAAACTTTAAAATGTGACGGATTGTGTTGAAAGATGATTCACCTTGAAAGCAAATGAAAAATAATTTAATTAAGCATTGAGAAAAAGCAGGTGAAAACCTAGAGATGAATAAAGAGTGAATTTTCAGGGATCTGCTTGTTGAAGTGACAAGCCCTGGGACTATGTGCAAACACTAGTTGCCTTGTGGGTTGTAATTTTACTTAAACATCACATAATTATTTTTCCATAATTAAGGAAACATAACATATTACAAAGCATTTGGGAAATAGAGAAATGAAAACTGTTTTCCTTCTGGACTTTTGCTTGTTATGTGCTTTCCGAGGATGCAGTGATTGTTTATATGCAATTTTTAAACTTGTATTTTTTTCCAGTTAATATTATGTTGAAGCCCTTTAAAGTGCTAAGCGATATATTACAGTATTATGACTAAACATGCTTTTTATTGTGACACTGAAGTGGCTTCCAAAATTTTACTTGCAATAATCATTGTGAATAACTTTGCTTTTGGAATTTTTCAAAGGAATTTTATCTGTAGGGTCATTTGAGTTTTAAGGGGAAAAATAATCCCTCAAAACAATATTCAGCTAAACCTCCCTCCGGTCCTTCCAGGGCCCAGCACCATTTATCTGCCTCATGTGCTACTTGCTTCAGCTGCTCTGTGCTAGTAAAGGAAGTTATGTTTAAAATTTAGTTTCACCTGAACCAATTGTACAAGGTCAATGGGGGAAGAGAGATGAGGAAGAAGAGAACAAATGGAGAGAAATATTTAAAAATGCTTCTAGAATTTTATGGAAACATCTACTCCTTCAACCCCAATAAGACGGTTGGACTGATCTGCAGATGCCACTTTTTCTCTCCTTATGCTGCATTTGCCCCTTTGTCTTTCTTCTTGCTCCCTCATTCCTTCCCTGCTCCCAGGTTATCCATGCAATGATTCCGGGAGCTCTTTGAATTTGTCTTGTCCTCTTTGAGTGCTCTCACAGTTTCTGCTTTCCTTCCCTACCACATGTCCAGTGCTACAGAAACAGGATTTCTTCACATCAGCCAGCATTTATTGAGCATCTACTGTGTGCCAGTTAAGGTACAAAGGTCTGGAAATTCGACAGAGAGTAAAACAGTCTGTTCAGGTAAAGAGGATGATGGGGCTGGGGGAAGGGTAGGGATTGTGGTTGGATATCAAAAGGCAGAACTGTAGTTAGCTAAGAGTGGTGCGTGTGTGTGTGTGTGTGTGTGTATGAAAGTCAATTCCGACAGGGGACAGCATTCACAAAGCCATGTGGTACATGCAACATGAGAGGAGAAGGCAGGTCGGTGTCTGAAGCCCTGCTCCTTCAGTAAAGAGCCCATCCCACATCTCAAGACACAAAGCTCAGTTGCCTAGTGTTTCCTGGTCACCATCCTCTCTGCAGCCAGGTCAAACCTTCTGACAAGTGCCCAGGGTCCCAGTGCAGTTACCTTTTCTCATCGTGTCTGTAAGATGAGGAAGTCCGGCCACTGGTCCATATGAACATCTTAGAAGATGGTGGTCCAGGGTCTCCTTTCCTTGCGGTGGAAGTCCTGGAGGAATGGCGAAAAGACCTAGAAGAGGTATGCATTATGGTTAAATCTATTCCTTTGAGTTCTGGAACTTTGTATTAGCAACCAATAGCTCTCAGTGGATTGACTTTCTTAAATAACACCAGGTTTTTGATGCCTCGGGGACTGGCTCTCCATGCTGGCTGCACAATGAAATCAACTGGGAATCGTTTTAAAAACACACTGATGTCTGGTCCCTCCTTCAGAAATTTGCATTCCATTTTTTTTAAAAGCTTCGTCATTATTTCTAATCCTTTGCTAGACTCAAGCCACTGCTTTAGGGGCCTATGATTTTGATGTTAAGGTCCTGTTTCCTGTCAGGTGCAGTAATCCCAGAGGCTCAAGAGGCTGAGGCAGGAGGATTGCAAGTTCAAAACTAGCCTTTGTAACCTAGTGAGGCCCTAAGCAACTTAGTGAGACCCTGTGTTAAAAGAATAAAACGGATTGGGGTTGTGACTCAGCAGTTAAACGCCCCTGGGTTCAAATCCCCAGTACAAAAAAAAAATTCTATTTCCCCTGTATTGTCTCCTTTAAAATATAATATTGGTATGGTTTCATACTCTATAGTATGTCATATTTCCCTTAGAATTTTTGTTCAGAGTTGGTTACTAAAATTCTACTTTCCCTTTCCTCTCCAACATTTTCCCTTGATGCTGAGATGTGACACAAACTATCATCTTTTAACTGTGCTCTGCCAATGCTGTGGGTTCAGCTCCTGACAGTTGAGATGCTGTCTGATAAAGTCTAGCAGCAGTGGCTCCAGATACTCAGTGGCTCCTAGAGGTCAGGTTTATAGACTCAAGAGGCAAGGAATTACAGGAATGCTGTATTCTTTTGATTATGTCTTGACTTTGGGAGAAGTTATTTCATCTCCAAATAGCACTAAAGAGTTAGCTATTATTATTATTATTATTATTTATTTTCTACATAATAATAACTTTCTGTAGAGGAGGAAATATGAAATATCATAGATATATTAATCAAATATAAGAGTTAAGATGATATTTGATATGGTAGTGTATTCATATATGAACAAAGGAAAAAGTTATGCCTGATTCATCCTACTGTCTTTCCTATTCCCATGCCCTCTCCCTTCCCTTCATTCCCCTTTGTCAATCCAAAGTACTCTGTACTCCCCTGATCCATTATTGTGGGTTAGCATCCACATATCAGAGAGAACTTTTGGCCTTTGTTTTTTGGGGGGATTGGCTTATTTCACTCAGCCTGTATTCTCCAGTTTCACCTGTTTACCAATAAATGCCAAAATTTCATTCTTCTTTATGGTTGAGTGATATTCCATTGTGCATATATACCACATTTTATTTATCCATTCATCTGTTGAAGGGCACCTGGGTTTGTTCCATAGCTTAGCTATTGAGAATCGAGCTGCGATAAACACTGATGTGGCTGCGTTACTGTAGTATGCTGATTTTAAGTCCTTTGGGTATAAACCAAGGACTGGGATAACTGGGTTAAATGGTGGTTCCATTCCAGGTTTTCTGAGGAATCTCCATATTGCTTTCTAGAGTGGTTGTAGCAGTTTTTAGTCCCACCAGCAATGTACGAATGAAACTTTTCTCCCATATCCTTGCCAACATTTATTGTTACTTGTATTCTTGATAATTGCCATTCTGACTGGAGTGAGATAAACTCTACATCATGTTCAACCACAAGAATGGGATCCTAATTAGAATAAGTTATACTTCATGTATATATAATATGTCAAAATGCACTCCAGTGTCATGTATATTTAAAAAGAACAAATTAAAAAAGATAAAAAATTAAATTTTTATGAACTCTAAAAAAATGATATTTGATACATTTGAATAAAGGAAGGCAGAAAGGTGATTCCTTCTCAGGTGCAAGTCAATAGTGTCTTTCTTATCAGTTAAAGCACAGTATTAATGATAAATGTGAGACTAGAAATAATATTGGTAACTGTATACTCAATTAGCTACTATATGCCAGGCACTTTGCAGCTATTAGCTATGCACACATCATGAGAGGCCTGTGCAGATATCCATGTTATGCTTATACCATGAAAACCCTGGAAGGTGAGCAGTACTATTATTTTCAAATTATGAGTGATGCTCTGAAGAGATTCACATATTTGCTTACATTTAGAAGAGGTGGAGCTGGGCTTCAAACCCATAGTTGCTGGCCTCCCGCTCCAGCCCAGTGCTTTTAAGCTGTAGTATGCATTTGAATTGGGGCTCTGTGCCAATGCTGATTCTGATTCCATGGGTCTGTGGCAGGGCCCAAGGTTCTGCATGGGTAACACCCTCTCCTGGGTGATGACAGTACTGCTGATTTGCAGGCTACACTGGGCAAAGGCTTAGGGTATGTACTCAGAGTATATCATTAGTTATAAGTCCACTTCATCACTACCTAGCTGTCTGACCTTGAGAAAGTCACTTAACCTCTCTAGGGCTGAGTGTTACTTTAAATAACTTTCTGCCATGGAGAGTTTGAAACAGATAACCTTTAAGTTTGTTCTTAGCACCAGTATTTTGTGATTCAGTAAATTGAAGAATGAATGTAAGCATATATTAAGTCATGGTGCATTGACTTCCTGAGAACAGGTCCTAAGAGTAGATCACTGTCTACAACCTTTGGTCAGGACCAGAAGGTTAAGGCGCAGGAGCTATGGGAGGTAGCAAAACCTTAATAGTCAATAAAGATGCAAGAAGTTATCCTTCTCCCTTGGTATCCCAGGGAAATGAAGGGATGAAAGGACCACCTGAATGGATAACCTAGACAGTTTTAGGAAGATTTAAAAATTGAATCTTCTATCTCTTTAAATGACATGGATCTGGGTTATTTAAAGTTATTTATCTTCCTTTTTGAACATCTTTAAAATATCCAATAGAATAGGGATTAAACGCGTTATTGAAACCAGTTAGCCTTTGGGGCATGAGAATGATTTTAATCTAAGTTGACTGAGTAATTTCCTAAGAATGAGGATTGGTATAAACTCTTGGAATTTTTTTTTGACATGGACCCTGGTGGAATCTGATCACATTAGTTACTCCTTCAACGAAGTGGGGGTGTGGGATAGACAAAGAAAAATGGCACAATTTGAGCATAGGTAAAGCAATAAATTTCTAAGCACTGTCCTGCTGCTGGCTATTAGCCAGAATTTAACAGACACACCATAGAATTGTAAATGGTTTGAAATGATTCAAAGCGAAGGGTTTTAGCGATTTCAGTGTATTTTGGATACTTTTCAGCTGCGAGTCATTACTGCAGTGCTGAATCTTGGCTCTGTTGTTTTAAGATGATAGACAAAGGGGAGATGAAAGATACATTTATTTTAATTGACTGTCTAAAGCTCGTTGGGAAGGACTTAACATCTCCTCAGGTTACTCCAATAAGTGGATTTGGAGTTTCTCCACTGCAGTTTTCTTTCATAAAGACAAACTTTTATTTAAAATTTGCTAAGTTCATTGTTAATTAAGATGAAACTGAGGAGCTGCTTTAAGGACAGCAATATAAAGATTCTGCAGAGGTTGAGGAAAAATTTCCAGGCTTCAAAGAAACTCCCAGAATTTAAAATATGTTAATGGAAGCTGGTTTGGAGATTTCTTCCTAGCTCAAAGGCAGTCCTCTTGAACTCCTTAAGTAATTAACTCAACTCTGCTCACTTTATAAGACAAAGAACATTTCATGTGAATTGTGATTAGAAAAGTGATGCAGAGAAACAAAAAAGTACTTGAGGAAATTTTGCAGTTTGGAATCCTAGAGTGAAACAGAGACCTGTTATGCTTGTGGCTGCACAGGGCAGTGGGGCAGGTGGAGACATGGGTCTCAGGCCATCACTAACCCATCTGGGAATGGGGTGAACCTGGCAGAGCCACTACTGTATGATGAGGACATAGCTGAAAATCAGAAATCCTAACTGACATAATCATCAGTGAGTCTGTGGTGAGATTTCTTTGTCTCAAGAATTTATAAAGTGTCCCTTTGATGTCTCGGCACACTCCTTGCTAGCTTCTGCTTCCTTGATTCAGCTCCTGCCATTCACTCAGCCGCCCCCCCCCCCAACCGCTGTTCCATATATGGTGAAGGAGCTATGCTGTATCCAAGCCATCTTGGATGTCCCCTCTTCTGCAAAGCCTTCTCTGACACATACAAGCAGCTTCCTCATCTCTGCTTCTGCTAGAGCAAGGTGCAGTTTCTCCTCCATGTGCACAAATCTGCCTTCCCTGCTAGGTAGGCTGAGCATCTCCAAGGCAGGTCTGTCCCTTACACACCTATGGTACAATGCAGGACACATAGCAACACACTGGTTGTGTTTTCTGACTTGACCTCTAAGTATCTATATCATGTGACACTGGTGCAGTGTACTGCTAACCTCTCCTTCCTGACCCTTTTCTTATCTTGGGATGTTATTCCTTCTTTTTACTCCTCATTATTCCTTTTCTTTCCTTCTCCGGAATGTCATGTTCCCTCTGTTCTTTTCATTGACTTGGACAGCAAGTTTCTGTTGCTTGTGAATTATCATTCAAAAAGCCCTTTGGAAAGGGCAGCATGGCCTAATGAGAAGAGGAGCAAGAACACAGATGGGGCTATTTGTTTGTTTGCCTCATGGCGTCACCACCTACCATCACTGTGACTTTGGACAAGCAAATTTAACATCTTTGTGTTTTCGTTTCCTCAACTGTAAAAATGGGAATAATAATACTTGCCTTTCCGGGTTACTCGGATGATTAAATTGGACAATACATGCAAAACAACCTAAGTAGATCATAGCACATAATAGGTACATACTAAACATTAGTATGCTTCTTCTCCCCCCACTCCCTATTATTATACTTAAAAGCAGATGGATTGGATTTTTCTCTTTGTAAACAAAATCCAATTAAGCCTCTTTGTACTTGTACATTGAGAGTATTGATTTTCTTTTCTTTCTTTGGTCCAATGGGCCTGGTAGCTGTCAGAGGAAATATCGAGATGATAAAATCTGCAGTACTTCCTCTTTAGCCTAAATTCTGATACCCATC